CTTCATATCCTATCTGTTTTCCCTGATCATGCAGTTTACCTATTTTTATCTTTGTCATTTTTATTGTATACGTTTTTGTAAGCTACCTCCAAACATTTGCAGTATAAAAAAAGTATTTCTTCTGTTTCTGTCACAATACCTATGATTGTGCTAGCTAAACACACAGTGGGGCATGAGAACCCACTCAATAAAACCATATAATTGGTTTTGAAATACACTGGGGCATATGTGTATGAATTTCAGGCAAATAAAAAATACATTTCAGCTCTTAAAATATTTTCTGGTTTTTGGAGCTTTCTGGTTTATTTGGAATTAATAAATTACATAATCCTACTTTTAAACAGAGTGAATATAAATTAAAAGCCAGAACGAACTATTTTTCAAATCACATTTTAAAAGTGAATAGAACTAGAATAATCCTCAGAGGACACATAGTCTCTGGGGGAAAATGTAATTTGTAACCATGTAATACTGATGCTACAGCATCTTTTGATAATCCAATTGCTAATATAGATTTGAATTGCCATGCTTTTAAGTTTAATGGTAATTAAAATATACTTATATATAAACATTCATACCACCCTTTGGTCAATACAGATGGGCTCCACTCCCAGATCTAATTGGGCCTGTGCTGGCTAGAGGGGACCATTCTGACTCGGTGTCTGCAGGAAGTCCACTAGCTTCTGATGTCACTGACATTCAAGTTTTCACTTTATTTTGTGGCGCTTTTGCATAAATATTTGATAGCAGTTTTTATTTTTAAACAAGGGAAATATGAAGCAGGTAAGATTGCTGTAACTCTGCCCCTAGAGTTACAGCACCTGCAGACATATCTTTAATGTAGCAAATGGGCGGTGGCTACAGAGGCTTGTATGCATGAGGACAAACATCTGTTCTCTCTGAGACACCCCATGGAAAGAGCAAGCTGTAGACATGGAAAGGGCATGGGTTTCAGTCTCTGCTTTCCTACCTATTAACAGGTCAGTTTTCCTCTTTGGTAGAGGGACAGTACCTGCTTTGACACCCTTATGGTGTTGGTAATGAAGGTCAAATGATATATTGGACTTGAAAGTGCTTTGAAAGCAAAAATTATGCAGGTAGGTGGTAGTTTTCCTCTCTTCCTATGTTACAAATAGGAATAACTAAAGAGTATATTCCCTGGAGCACAACATCATATGGAAGCTTCAGAGGGGTGGTACCCTCTCTAAGAAGCCTCTTCATCTTCACTCTGAGAATGCTCAAAGTGGCAACAGTATTCCTAAGATTGTCTCCATCTGGTATTGACATCATTAACCATCACTTTTGACCCTTTGTAATCTGGTTTTGTTTTTCAATAAAGGAAATCTCTTTTGGATATACTATTGTTAGTCTATAACATTGAACTTGAACTTGTATTCCATGGATTTATAGAATGTGTAAGTGTATCCGAATGAACCTGCTCTACATAAGTCTTGATTAGTTCTTCATATTATTTTAGCACTTTGGAATAATGGCAAATCTTGGTTCACCTTGAAAATTAGAATTTTTATAAATGTGGTTCTTAGTATATGTGAATAGTTTTGGAGTTTACAATATATTTTAAACATATATAAGTACTTCAGTAGAAGTATCGTGTAGTTGTTAACTGGGTGGTTGTTAAACTAATCAAAATTATTTATGCTCAGACTGTTCTATTCAAGAACCAACTTTGAGCTTTGGTATACTGAAGACAGAACCGAAACCTTCTGACAAAGAAAGACAGGCAACTCTGGCTCCAGCAGATGGTGCTGATGGTCACACTTGTCCCTTCAGTCTCCAGCATCACATCCATTTCATTGTCTGGTTCATGTGCCGGTGCTTAGTTTTGAATTATCTTAAGAATATGAATAACCTCATCATTTCTGATAAGTGCAAAAGCAGTGAGAATGTTGAAATGCTGGTGTCAGGGAGGAAGAATTTCCTCTGCCCATCAAGGTCCTTCTGGTCAGACTAAGAATCAAATTGACATGAGACAGATTAACAGGAGAAAATCAAATTTAATTTCATATGTATGGGAAACCCACACAGACATGGAAATTCCAAAGACAGTCAAGCAAAATGAGGTATATATATATCATCCTGAACTAAGGAGAAAGAGGCTAAGGGTCTGGGACTTAAAGGGGAGGAATGCAATTCACAGGAAGATGAAAAGGAGTAAATGTTTGGTGAACAAATGTTTGCTGGGCCACTCAAAAAGAATGGGACATAGAGGACTTTGATCAAACAGGCTTTGCTCGTTCTTCCCTCTCTGCCATACCTAGTTCATAGTGTAATGTAGTTATCTATAGCGATAGTTCTCTTCCTAGAGCAGGTCCTTTATCTAAATTCTTTTAGGCAGTTGAGGTGGGGAGGTAAAGAGCTTTTCCTGAATATGCTGTGTTTTGATTGCTTTTAACTCAAAAATAATCTGCATGTCAAAGTGGTCCATCTTGGGGTAGTCTGCCTTTGGTGATAGATAGATAATGGAAAAAAAAATTAAGATAATAAAAAAAAGCAAATGTTGAGAAAACAATGTTGTATGTGTATATAAGATGAATCATTCAGTTGAACAAATAATTCTAAGGGACAAAGAATAACTCACACAGTATGCTTAAAGTATTATATCCATGGCAGTAATTGGCAAGTGATGGGGGAACAATGTTTGACAAAGTAGAATATATGTTAGAAGAGACATGTCAGATACCTGTTAGCCTGATGCTAATTCGGGAAAAACTGAGAGTTTGTTCGAGAGCTTAAAGGCTGAGTGTGGTGGACGTACCGCTGACAAATCCTTGGTCCACAGCTCTGCCAGCTGCATGGGTCCAGGTCCTGTGACAAAGCAGTGGAGAGGCAGGTGTATAGCTACTGTAGCTGGAACCTTATCTGCGCTGCTTAAGGAGGCAAGAGAGGGTGGTTACCTGCCTCCTAATTTTCAACATAGAAGAAACTGATCCTTTATGCAAAATGATGCCCCACAGATCTTATATCACTGAAGGAAGGGAGAGTGAGCCTGTTTTTAAAGCTCACATTCCTTATGGTGGACATTTATTCAGAGGCTGCAAGTCCAAGCCCTTCAAAATTACACTGGGCTTTTGAACAGGCATACGCAAAACCTGTTGGAACAGTTCTAACCTGTTCATGAATAAGAACTGGTGACTGTACTATTTTGGATGCAAAGCAGTTATGTATCCTTTTATAATATTAAAAAACAAGACAGAATATGGTAGGTAGTAGTTGTGAAACCTGTAAGATTCATTTTTTTTGCCAAGTAATAAGCATAAAGAAACTTTTGACCTACAACTCATTTCCTATCATTACAGTGTTGACATAGTGGAAAGAGTCTAAACTCTGGAACAAGTCAGCTGTGTGATGCCAGCCACATACACAACTCCTCTGCCATTCAGTCTCTTCCTCTGGTAACTGGGCATTGTGCTGCCCATCCATCAGAGATGTTGTGAGAAATAAAAATAATACTTATTAAGTCAATAACACAGTGCCTGGTCATGATGGGCCTTCCATGACTAATAGCACTCCCCATAATAGTCAAAAATCCCAACAGAGGGCTTGAAGGGTGCCACCAGCGATTGCCATGGCCAGTTTTATCAACTAAGATAGACGAAACTTTTGTAACAAATAGACCAAAACTGCAATGGTCAAAACACAACAGAAGTTTATCTTTCTGTCTTATAACATCCAGGATGGGTTCCGGTTCAGGAGGGCCCAGGTCCATACAGTCAATTAGGGACTGGGCTTTTGATGGCTCTCCTGTCTTTAGGAGTAGCATGACTGCGATCACCATTCTAGCCCAAAGGAAAGGGGAAGTGGTCTGGAGGCATGTGTGAAGGAGGTTTTAAGGGCTAGAAGAGAAGTGGCAAATACCAGTTATCACCTGCATTATAGTGGAGATAATGTATTCCCACGGGCACACCTAGCCGCTAGGGCAGCTGGGAAATATAGTGTAGCTACTGTGAAAAAGGGGGTAAAATTGAGGTAGCCACACTGGTTTATCACATGGCATAGTAATGACCCTAAAGTATCCTCTGTGCTCCACACTGAATCTTGGTACCAACATTTTTCTGAAAATTTACTGACAACTTCTGATCGATACCAAAATTCAGGAGTGAATCCTCAGGCACAAGGCACATAAATCCTGGGCTGCAGGTCGCTCTATTAAGCTGCATGGGGCATGTGGCTTTTCATGCTGGGATTTGGCCCAGACTCTGCGCTCGGGCCAGGGACAGGGTGACAGGGGCCGGGGTAACTGACCTGGTCTAAAGAGGCCCTCAGTGTGATATGCCAGATCAGTCACAATGCCTGAGCATTTGGCATGTGACAGGCAGGAATGATACCAGGGAATCCAGGCAATGGATCTGGGAACCCCATTGGCAGGAGTTGCCTCCTGGGAAATCTGTCTGGAGCAGCAGAAACCCAGACAGTGGGCTGGGTAATAGTGATGGGAGAGGAGGGGAGGGAGTACGATCAGGCAGGGAAAGTGGGCAGGGCTCCCACACAACAACTGATATTCCAGTCATGCCTCTGGTCCTACCTAGATAGGGAGCAAGGCATATGCAGTTAAATGGCAGAGACTGAGTTTCTCTGGTCTGACCTAAAACAGGGGATGAGGTAGAGCAGGGATTAAGAGAAGAAGAGAATTTAAATTAAGGAATAATGGTGATGTCTAGAAGTCATTCAGGGATCCTAGGACCAGCTGGGAATAAAATACAGATACCCACTTGTCATGAGCAAACCACCAGCTCCAGGATCTTGAGCAATAATTCATTTCTAAGCCCTACTGTGTGGGAAGGCGCTGAGGCTTTGCATACCTGCTGCCTCAGTCATTATTGGCTCAGGAACTCAGGTGCTGGTGGGAAACTTGGGTGCATCCACCTATGGGGGTGGGGCACATTAGGGGACATTGAAATGAGAGAAGCACGAACAGATTATCTACTGAAATTGCATTGTAGCTCTAAATGGTATAAAAACATGTTTCATTTAATTTTTAGTCACTCTCCAGTTCCTCAAGAAATATTCAACAAATGTTGGCAGATTCTATCAATCGTATGAAGGCATATGGATTTCACCAGGTAAAGACTTACATTCTGTCTTCAGGGGGCTAAATGCATAGCCATTTCCACTACTGTTTCACAAATTGGTGTATTAGTCTTGTGCAGAAATGAAAGCAGCAGAATGTGAAATCTGTCTTTAGCTATTCATACCTGTTTATCTGGAGTTGGAAAGTCTTGAGTGTCATGGAAAGAACAGATGCCAAGACATACCTGCTAAACTCCTTATGGAAGATCTAACACAGAGACAACATCCTGGGCTGCAGCGAACACTGAGGAAGACTGATTTCAGAGAGCAATAAATGAAGCATTTACCTTGGCAGAAATCGTGAATGGAGATTAAGTTCCTTATGTGTTCCTTGTTTCTGTGAGCTTGACCCTGTTCGATGAGCAGCCTCTTGTACCATCCATGCCCACTGTGCCAGGAGCACCTTTGGGCACTCAGATCTCTCACACACCCATCCAGGTGTGACTCCCCTACAGGCAGAGCCTGCTTCCTCCATCATGCTAGACTGTATTGCATCGTACATTCCTCACAATAAATGGAGCATAGATGGGCAGCTGGAAACCATAGTAGGATTTGACCTGCAGAAAGTTTGAAAAAGTAGTGTAAGATACGGAGCTGTAAAAGAGAAGGTTCTGAGTTACCACAGGCCTGAGATGGGACCGTGGCGGAGGCCCGTGTTCCAGCGGACAGTGCAATCTGCAGGGACATGCGTGAACTGGGATAGCTCGCATGGAGACTTGGAGAAACCATGATGAATTTCTGCAGTGTAGTCCTAGTGTGCATCCTGCTGATATAACATGTACCTTTCTAAGACAGCAACGGTAGAGCATCTAAAGGAGAATTTCAGTAACAATGCCCGGATTACATTGTTTCATTTTAAATGATAGAAAACAAAGGATCTGTGTATTTATTCAACCAACATCTGTTGAGTTTCTCCTATGTGCTAGGCACTGTTACAGGCATTGGAAGCATCATGAACAAAACAGATAGAATCCTTGCCCTCGGGAAGCTTATATTCTGGACGAGGGAGACAGACAACAAGCACATCTATGAAGTCAGATGATCATAAGTTCTGTGGAGAAAATGCAGGATAAGGGAGCTGAGGAATGCTGGGAGGGTGGGGATTGGCTTTTTATAGACGTGGTCAGAGAAGGCTACTCTGAGAAGGCACTACCGGAGCAGAGACCTGGAGTAATGAGGGAGGTAGCCATGTGGATGACGGGGAAATTACGCCCCAGGCAGAGGCAATACCAAGTATGAAGGCACGAAGGCAAGAGCTTGCTTGACATGGTCAAGGAACGGCAGAGAGGTCAGTGACTGAGAAGGGAGATTAGGGCTGAGAAATCATGTACACTTTATAAGGAATTTGGTATCTTGGTGTTATGTCAAGCCATGATGAAAGATGAGATCATCTAGAGAGTGAGTCTAGATGGAAAAGAGAGAGCCTGAGCATTCTTGTCTCCAAAATAAGGGGGATAGACTCGATGGTTCTCAAGCATTTTTAGATGTGAGACTGTCAGATTTTCATATTCTTCACACCCTCTCATGAGAACACCCAGAGCCATGGGCGAATGCATTCCTTCTCTAACTTAAGAAATTATATGGGAACTCAACAGCATGAACAAGCAGATAGATCACTTACCCACCTTCTCTGTAGAACAAAAATAATAAAACAGAGCTTTCTGACTTTGGAGGCAATGGAGAGGGTCTAATGAGGAAACTGGTGGGAAGTATTTCCATTAGCAGGCTGGGATGAGAGTCTTTCTGTGGGAGATGTTTTGACATCAAACTGCCCATCCCCATGTCTAAACCTCAGCCTGTGGGTGTTTGGACCAGTGTCCAGCCTCAGCCCTGCTGCCCCTTCACCCCTCAGCCTCTACCTGACTTTCCCACGCTTGGGCTCACCATCCCCATCCTGGACCTATATGCTTCTTGCAAACACTTCTAAACACAAAATGATGGTTTGGTTTCCTAAGTAGAGGAAGTAAAGACCAACCTGTAAAGATTTTGCTAAAAGTAAATTTTCTGGAGGAATTCTTAGAGAAACTCAGGACAAGTCCTTAAGTTTTCTAGCTGCTCTGAATAAATAGAGTGATCAGGGCTCATCTCATCCATTACTCTGTGAAACTCATTAATGTGTCTCCTTTCCCTCTGTGCCCCATACATAATGACACCGCTGGTTAAAAAGGAGTATGATTTACTAGCTATAGCACTCCCCAACATTTGACTGTCATCAACCACATACCACCTGCATTATTAGTGACTGAATAATTCTCCTTAAGTAGATTCACTTTGTAAACGTTTTGCTTTTCCTAAGCAGCAATATCCATGCTATCATGGTTTAATGTTATAGCTCTTTTCTAATCATTTTAAATCATTTTAAAATATGCATGTGGAAGATGAACAAAGCTCAACTTTTAAGTTTTTTTCTGTTTAAGCTTAGAAGTTGCTAGCGTCCTTTTTATGTATTTCAGGTTTATAAATGGCTTCAGTAAGGTGATAGCAAATTTTAACAGTCATTTAAAACACCAAAAGCTGTTTTTTTGGTTTTTATAATATTAGGAAACCAAGGGGGCTTAGCTCTAGGCAGGAAAGAAAGTAAGAAAAAAAAAATGAAAATTATAAATACACAAAAGTTTAGTTACACCTGAAATGAAAGACAGTGTATGAATGATCACCTCCTACATTAACTGTGATTTATGACTTCCCACAATGATTGAAAACAAGTTTCACAACATCAAGGTTTATATTTCAGTTGGGGTGAAATAATTTAACAGAAAGAATGTCTTTATCTTTCTTTTTTTTAAAGATTTTATTTATTTATTTGACAGAACGAGAGAGCACAAGAGGGGGAACCGCAGAGGGAGAGGGAGAAGCAGGCTCCCCACTGAGCAGGGAGCCTGATGCGGGGCTCGATCCCAGAACCCTGGGATCACGACCTGAGCCAAAGGCAGATGCTTAACCATCTGAGCCACCCAGGAGCCCCAGTCTTTTTTTTTTTTTTTTTAAGATTTTATTTATTTATTAGAGAGAGAGAATGAGAGATAGAGAGCACGAGAGGGAAGAGGGTCAGAGGGAGAAGCAGA